TCCGTTGAAAAAAGTTTCGTTCCTCGACCCCTGTGGGACACACGATACGGTTAATCGGGAAAGACATGAAAATTAATCCGATAAAGCGTTTACGACTTGAAACGGGTAGAATTGTTTAGGCAACTATATGAATGTAGGTGCACTTTTGCAGATGAAAGAAAATTAAATCATACGCTTTAGATTACTGCAAGATTTTAGAAACGATACTCATATTCAGTGTTTCTCATTGTTTACATAATAAAAAGGCACAAATTAGATCTTGAAATAAAATAAAGGTTGAATAGAGAGAATTTTATTGGGACCGTCAGTCTTCTTCTAGGTCAATGAGATCGTTCTGTGACGTAGGCAATTTGTTAGCTGCAGTGAACGTCTTATCTGCCTAGACGAATGTCTGAAATCAGTTGCACTTCCAACGAAAAGAGTGCTGTGATATAATGCTCTTCGAATATAGGGCAGGGCAAGTGGAACGGTGTATACATAGAAGAGATGCAAGGTACCAAGGGTCATATAATTATCTAAGAATTTAACTTGTGAATACAGCCGACATATAAAATAAGTAAAATATTCAAGAAATACAGAGCCGGAAAAGGTCTGTATCAACGCAGTGTAAGTGCTAGGTAAAAGTAAGATAAACAAAACTAGAGCCGGACCATTCGTGATGCGATTTGCACCTACGCAACACGGCTTAGGACGACAATTTGTGGTGTTAGGTCAAGAATGTATAAAGTCCATTTTCGCGTGCTATAAATATTGGGGTTACAAGAAAGCACACCTAACTTACAGATAAGCCAATTGTCTATGTGCAAAGCTTTGAGTGGGAGGTAGGTACACATTAATATGGTAGTTTCTGATGCATAGAATGAATAAAGTAAAGCTCAATGGTGAAAATATCCTATATAGGCCAGTTCATAAAAATAGACAATGGAAATGAATAGCAATCAATGATAAAAGGTGTACGTAGAAAATAGGAAAAATTCAGGTTCTCAAAAGTCAAACTTTACCGTGAATATCAAAAACATAGATATTCGGTGCGCAATAAAACCAGGACGACGAGAAACAATATTTTGCACAAAATAAGGGTAATTCATAGAATTGAAGATGAACGTGTAATATAACGAATAATATATATATATATATATATATATATATTATTTCGTCTTTAGAAGTATTTTGTATATACAACTGACTGGACTAAATGTAAAAAGTGAACTTCAGCAGGTTACATTTTGGACATGCATGTGTCTAACTTTAAGTTAAAGTCGTAGCGACTATTATCTGCATAGACGCATGTATTCCCGCCGTTATATAGCGGTATCTTTGTAACGCTTATTATTAAGCAGATGAAGTATTGGGAGACAAGAGCCAATACACCGTTGTCGAAGTTCAAGTAACCATGCAATGGAGATCAGGACGGACAACTCCGTTTGAATAATGCGGCTTGTATTATCTGGAATGACGAAATGAAGGTATATGGATATGTTATATTCAGCTCTGTGTCATATTAGATGACGTCGCGCCATTCGTGGTAGCTCATCAATGTCCAACAATTCTCCAATAGACTGAGATCTAGGTATCGCGCTGATCATGCTCACAGCGGGGAGGACTAATAAGACATGTATCGGACGCCTGAAAAACCTACTATATAAGGAATGACCCCTTTTTATGCAGAGTTACCGTTGGATAAATGTAATTTTAGATCCTCGAAGATTGGCTTGTTTACGCTGCGTCTCAGAAACAACAAAAGTTTCGACTTGCTTTTGCCTAACTCTCAAAAGGTACTCTTGGAGTTGTGCTTGGAGACAAGAACTCTAGCAAAAGTCGTTTCCAAGAATACAACATGGCAGAATATGTGCCATTACAAAAGAACAGGCGTAGAATCGCCTACTTATTTGCGTGTCATTTAAGTATTTAAAATTTGTGAGATTAAGACGTTTATTAAAGTACATTTTATTATCTGGGATTAATTAATTTTTTTTTTTATAATGCTGCATTTTAGAGAAAAAATGCAAATTTCAGGAAAACTTGCTTGGTCAGATTATATTTGTCTCTTCATTCGACAAATACAAAAAAAATACCCAGCTTGACATTTTGCGAGTTACTGAGTTGGTTGCAATGTAGTAGTCGTACTTGCTTACATTAAATACTTATTCGTATGTTTGATAAATATGCACATCAACATAAACCGGCGAACATTTCTGAACTGATGTCAGATTCGAAATGGTTCTCGGGGATCAGCCGATAGCTGGTTTTGAAGACCATATCAAATTCGATGAGGTGTGAACTTCTAGATATCAAATGAGTCTCGAGCTTTGTGTGAATGTCCCGTAGATTAATTCACTGAATGCGCTAGTTTATCACTGCATAATAATCCCGACCTGTTCGAAATCATTTTTATTTAACTGTAATTTAAAAAGAACTAAAGAAAAGGCAAATAAAGCCTATGTAAATTATATTTTTGCATGAAGAGCATCACAAGTTGCCCATATAATACCGTAAATAACCAATAATATAATGGAAAAACTGGATACAGTATTATTACAAAGCCTACAGAAGATTTGCTCAAATGTGGAAATAACAAATACGAGCTTAATAATTTCGACCGCCAGAGTAGTAAACGATATATCAATACATGCATGTTGGCGTACTTTTAGCTCAAAACATGTATGAATTTATGTAGAAGCAAGTAGTTAGTAAGGCTAGCATTCTCAAGTCAAACATGAAGATATTGGTACTTATCTAATTAAATCAATTGGCGCCAGTGCTTAAGACTCGGTTTGTTTGGATGGAATAACCCACTAGCTTTCAAATTGCATTTCTTGACTCAAGTTTATTATAACGTACAGAATTTAGACTCTTATTAAGCGATGCGTATCTAAATTGAGGACACAATCTCTTTGCAACTTTAGTCTAAACGCATCTCTTGATATTATGGTGCTCAGTAAAACAGTCAGTTCAATAAGAAATGTAACGAGCGTTTTACGGTTTACCGAAAATTAAAGTGCATTTACATATTAGGCATGCTTGCATCACAGCAACCAATACCATTGTTTATTTCTTGCAGGTATGCTTGCAGGCAAAAAACAGCAATACAGACGACTTATTGAGACGTTGTGCCGATCATGTGCGGGTCAAAATATTGGTTTTCCACAAAAACTGACCGTAGTCGACTTTAAGGTATGCAGGATTACGGGCAAAATATTACTCCTCTTGCGGCAGAGGCAGGTTTAGTATGCAGCTGGGGCATTATTCCATTATACGAGTACTTTGGTCACTGCGAGCATTATCACTGAGCGCTCCACTAGCGCGAGGAGCGTTCTAGATTAGTTACAACGCGTGGGTAACTCCACTTAACAACAACCAGTACTAACTTAACTTCTGTATGCGTGTTCGGTGTATCAAATTTTGTATTCAGCTATTTCCACCTATCCGATCCAAAGAAAGATGGCAGTAAAGTAAATAGAGAATATAGAATAGAGAATCATTTTGCATCACCAAAGTCACCTTATTCTGGTCAATGAGAAACGTCACATTAGTAACAACAAGTGTAAGAACTAGCAAACTGTGTCTATTACGTCTTCGGCCTCGCACGCAGGTGTTCAGTAAAATCGAGGAACAGGATCCTGGGAAACTGACTGTGGGAACTTCGTGTGAAATCTTAAGGAGTAAAGACTTCCGTACAGGTTTTGAACTGAAATAAATTCAGGTTTAAATATAAGGAATCTTTGTTAGAGGACCATTTTCATGCTTATAGGTGACTTCACTTAAAGGTTCAGAATTTCGAAGCAGGACAATAAAATATGCTACAGCAACGATACTCTAAATAAAACACTTGAAAAACCTGTTTTGCGGTGTTTTATGTTCTCGCGTTCATCGATTCTGCAGTTCATTACTCATTGCCTGCATTGGCTAATGCAAATTGTGCATAAACCCATTTAATAAACCATTTCTTCGTCTGAGCGCACTTTGGGGAAACCTTCTTTCTAAATTATTATAATGTCTCAGAATGTGGGTTTAGGTAGAACGAACAGTTTGGGACGCGCGAGGCCATTAACGTTTTTACAAAATCTAGCCCGCTAACTCGTAAGAAACGTTCCTACCAAAAACGACAGCCAAAAGTGTGAGCCTTTCTTACTCAGTTGTTGATTCAAAATGAATCTTTTATTACGTGACGCCAAACACACTTTTACCTTAGCCTAGAGAAACGCACTTTATCTACCAACAAAATTCTGGAAATAAAATATGTTAATAAAAATGTGGCTATATATATTAGTTCATACACAGACTTAATTGAATATGACAAGCTTCATTGCATAATATCTTAACTGTAGATAACTACTTTGTCCAACGGCATTCTCGTTTTTTACACTTCCCGCGTTTTACTTGGCAGTATAAACAAGTCCATTTATGTATGGATTACAACAAGGGGACACGATCCATCCATTATGCATACTTCGTACAGTCATAAGAATATCGCAGGTCCGCATTTTGAGGCACTAGCTGTCTTAGTTCGTCGGTAAAAGCCGAAGGCTATGCCATCATTCTCTGTGGCTGAGAGAATGTCGGTGGTTTTACTATAGCAAAGGCACCAAAGCGTTAACCAGAGATTTGCATCAACTGCAGTAAATATTCACGCACGAGGGAGCGACATCCTCTTCAAGCGCTGATTCGAAACTACTTCACTGTTAGAAGACTGCTGTAGCACGAAACGAGTCTTACCATGAGGAAAAGTTGAAGTTATGCCGCAACCATTGGCGAGAGGGCTTTTTGCTAATGAAAATAAGGTAAGGAGGGAAGTCTAGACTTTCCGTTCACGTTGTCGGCGAGTTTCAACATTAGATATAGTCATGATTAGTTCTTGTGCGGGGACTTATTGTTAAAGGAACTTTGCGTAGAAACGCAGTGAACCTTCAGTGCATATATAAAAATATATATACGTTGTATTTTTTAAAGTGTCTAGGTAGAACGATCGCTTGAGACGCGCTCAACATATTTCAGATTTTTACAATAGTGACCGGCAAGAACACAGGATTATGTTTAGTAGCATGAGAAACCACCTTATAATCGTCGTGGTGAGTCGACAGATGAGCTATACCAAACATCTATTCCACGAATTCTCTTTTCTGACACAAACTCGTGATACGTAGACGAAAGTTCGTTTTAATCAATTTTTTCAATCATAAATAATGCTGAAACAACACTGATTGCGTCTGATAACTAATTAAACCAACAAACAGTGGAAACTGCAATTATTTGCTACTGCATATATATACACTGATTAAACAACGTTATGTTTTTTTAGCTTGTATAAAAAAAGAGAAAACAACTAACGAGCTATATGGATAATATTTTTTCAGCATTTTTCATGATTTTATTCAGTATTGAGACAGAGGAAGCTGATTTGGAATAACTATTATATAAGAATCTCATATGGTCATATTATGTAGTACTATAGCCTTAATTATATTGTAGTCGCTCAAACATGGCTTAACTAGAATATATCTAATAGTAGATTATCGTTAGGAAATAGATACGTCACTTTTTGCGACAGTTTTTTACGAGTGCTGGTACAGTTCGCCTATGATGAAAATATCATACAAGGGTTGCAAATACATGTCGACAATTACAGGGAAGTAGAAGTAATTGTGATAGACATGTATACCCAGGAGTATTCGCATTATTGAGTTTATGTGCCGGTGCTACATTAGAGATAGAGAAGCTTATTGACAATGCAGTTTATAGGACTGCCAAGAGTCGTCCGATCAGTCATTCGTGATTTTAATATTACGCAAAGCCAATTCGGCTTTCGGTGAACACCTCAGGAAATGATGTTCTACTTCATTTTTGCATTTTTGATGGTCTTTCTAAATCGTAAACATACCTTCTAGATTATCAAGCAGGTCGCTTATAGATGCAGTAGTAAAGCTAGTACCAATGTGAACTACTCACTTACCCAGATAAGAATGTTTGTCCAGTCCCAAAATGCTACTTTTCAAAGATTGCGTGAAAGCGTACAATCTCATTCCTGATAACTGAAGCTTTTTTTCTCCAGAGAAAGCCCAGATTTTAATTCTCCATCTATTTAATGGGCTTTATACAGACGACTGATAAGCCAGGTTTTTTTTTCAAAAAAAAAAACTTAAATAGATGCTCGCAATGAGAAACCAAGTATCCAAAGATTTATCATTTGCAGATTTCTCAAAAAAAACTTTCCACTTATCGTGTGACATGTGAGAGTAAAAGTTACGCAGTTTGTTGTCCAATATTGTTTGACATGGGCATTTATATTTACGGCAATTCACAGAATATGACTTTCCTTTCACATACTTCAACATTTCTACGTGCTCGACAGAGTTAATCACAGGCAGCTCACTTTAAAGCTTAAGGCGTTTAGTGTTGATGACCAGCTGGTCACGTGGATCATACCTTATCTATAAGCCAGATGTATTATATTACGGGTTAGCGGCGATCTATTTGATCTTGCCAAATGCCAATCTGGAATTGCCTAAAGGGCTTATGTTGGATCGTTTTTGCTTAGACTATTTGCTCTGAACGTTAAGGCAATCATTCGAAATGGTGTAACATGTATGCGGATGACCTCAAATTACATTGATCTGTGTCAATCGCTAAAAACTTTCAACAATCAGTGAAAATTTGAGTGGTTCCGAAAATTATATGACTATTTCTGTGTCTATATATTATTCCAACGAGTAAACCTGTTTCTTTAGAGTACAGATCTGCATTTTCGAATCGATTCATAAGAAACACGCAACAGTTGAGGTACAGACAAGATTAATCTATATATAAACTTAGAACCTTTGTAATCAGAAAAGGTGACACTAAAATTTTTCTGGAGAATATAAATCACAGTTGGACACTCCTAAAATAAACTGTGTTCCAAGTGGTACTGACAGCACTATACGCAATACTTAAAGAAAGACAATGGGTGCTCTAACTTCAGAGCGAAAATAACAAACACCAGGACCATATACAACGGGTTATATCGTAACATTATATCAGATTCCCCGAGAAATCATAAAAATGTACCGCTTATCAGACCGTAACATGCAGAAACCTATGAAACAACTGTAATATATCACAACCCAATTTGGGCCGCGTCAAATGGCAATGAAAAGACATAACATACAAAATATACGATACAAACAAGCGGAACGGTAGCAAGATTTCATCTTTTGCCCTACGAGACAAAGCTTTCCGCTTTATGGGTTTGTACAGAAGATTAACCATTACGCCGGCAATGGCCGTTAGAGACAACTACGGAAAAGAATTGTCCAGTTGTATATGAAACTACACTTGACCGAAATAGCAGGTAAATTACCCAATTCAAAACAAAGGTGATTCAGAAAAAAGAGGGTAGCTGAGACGCGCATATGTAATTGACCCTATCTTCATTATTAATCTATTACTATTATCATTAATATAATTAATTATTCCAAGGAAGATGAAGTTTATATAAGACGCACGAAGATATGAGAGGCATGTATAGACTAAATGTATGGTTTATCGTTAGGTTATACGCAAAAGCGTACCCATTATATTCAAACACAAACAAAAGACACTGGGGGTAGAAGTATCTGGTTGTCGACTTACACCTAGTTGAATGAAACATGCATCTATTTTATCGTATGTAATCACTTCTTTACAGCATTCACTATTACGTAGGCACTAAATGTGATTCCGGACTAATTCTTGAGATACTATGTATCTTGTACTAGAAGCAGGCCTCTGGCCATTAAGACCATACTCGATGTAGCCGTAACACCGTTGCCTCTAAACTTAGCAGGCCAAGTTTAGCTCCTCCTTTAAAATCTCTGAAAATGAGTCCTTCATCGCCAAAACGAATAGAAATCACCCGAACATCAGCTGCGGCTGATCCTGAGAAAAAGATGATAAACATGGCAGGCATAATATATTTAATTGAAAAATGTTCTTTGTATGTACATTTTACTATATTTTATAGATCAGCAAGTCGTTTTTAGGGGATCAGTCGTCAATGGGATTTAATCGTATTCAAATTTTTACCTAAACAACCTTTTTCTAGCATTTTCTGGTATGTCTCTGTTAACTTCAATACAAATGTCCAAAAATATTTCTTAAATATGCATTCCTTTTCTTTAATGATTTTCACCTGAGACTACGTTGCCTCGTTGTTCTATTAAATAGGTTGGTTTATATCATTTTTTTGAGTAACTTTTGCTCATTCCACCTTGTATTCAACAGACCTGCTTCGACGAGCTGCTCAGTAATTAGATTACTGTGGCCAAATTTCTTTCATATCCTTTGCGTCTTTGGATTTAAATCACTTGTGAGCAATAACTCTCATCTATCATTGGCCTATTTCTATTTATTATTTTATCATTATATTGTGTTCTGTGTTCCCTTTTAGCTTTCTTTCGACTATTCCCATTGCAAAATTTACATCTGCGGTACAATACAATCCGCGGGAATAAGATCGACGCGTAACAATATCACTCTTGTTGTTAATACCAAAACAGAAAATTGTGGAATACTCTATAGGAATATATTGGTACTGAGACAATGTATTGTAGCAAACTGACTTAACTTTGTCTTTGGCCGGTGGAACCAGCGCTTTACTAGCCACTTCCTCTGCGCTTAAATAATAATTAAGGTTCCGTGATATTTGCGCGCGTACCTTTGGCCTTCGGAACCATGCACGAGTCCGCGATCACAGGCCTATGTAACAAAGGTTATGATTGTGGTAACATCCGTGGTAATAAGGGCATTTGACATTGCCCAACAAAATTAACGGTCACTACTCCCACCAGTAGGTTGGCAGAACCGTTCATGACGAAATCGAAGTAGAAATACTCCAACGGCCTTCGCCGCCCGCTAGTACACATTGCATCTACGAACGCACGCACGTACTATTGTTTAAATGTCTCTCTCATAAGCACTTGCGATTTTAGAAAGCCGTTTTCACGGAACCAGAGCTTGTGCCGGCGGAAATAACTCTTTATTTATACGACCGTTTGCCCGATTTGCCACTTACTAGCAGAACGTTATCATCGTAGATCAACAGCTGAGTTCATAAATAGACAAGGACTGGCACATCAGCCATGTACAGGTTAAAGAGTAGAGTAGATGAAACTATCTATGATAGACCGCGGTATTTCGAGCCACACGTGGTAACAAAATCATCCGCCTGGTCAAAAAATGTTTTTTTAGTGAGTAAATACGTAGTTCGGCTCAGCCGTTCCAATTATTCGGTAAGTCACAAAAAATCTGCAGGCTGCTGAAATCCTCAGAGACTATAAATGCTCCACGGTTCTACCCACTGCTTCTAATGGTCGTGTTAAAAAAAAAAAGACTGAATAAGTTGTCTTAACGACAGCTTATTTAGTCTTTTTTTTGAACCAGCGAAGGACATGTGGAAGTATTGTAATAGTCTCCCCTCATGCGCTAGTTTCCGAGCCCTTGTAAGCCAGAAGCGCCGAAGGGATATTGAATTTAAGGGCATCCGTACCAGTTTTAAGCAGAAGAAATCGGGTTTTATAAATCGCAACATTCTTTGAATGATGCCACCCGGTCTCCGCAGTAATAGGTAACGCTCGTGCTTCACTTAAGATTAACTATCTTCTAGAGAATCCTTTCTTCGCTGGGTTATTTTCAGGCGTTACAGCCTGTGTAAATAAATGACCTATGAAGTACGATAGACAAGCCGCATCCAGTCCGGTCTATCCGATAAACGCGTTTTGCATGCCCAATGCTTGCCCATCAACCTGTGACTCCTGCAATGTTGTCCTGCAACGGAAAAATTTAACACCGTTAAGCTACTAAAGACCACAATGCCGACATAAAACAAGAACATGTGGTACTGGGTGTGACATCTGCTTTGGCTCTGGAGCCATACAGTTCAGTCATTCATTGTGGTCCCATAATCAGTATGTTCTTGAGAATTTACTCAGACATCGGTCCTGGTTTACACTGAAGTGTACGATTCGTTTCCGAGTTGTTGGTCCGCAGCAGTTCTGGTTTCACGAAAACATTTAGGAGCGATATCATGACGGAAAATTTGCGTCCGGAGAGCTAT